TGTGTCATCTGACAATAGCGTGACGGGAGGTGGGACATAAGAGGGTGGAGCTAAGGTATTTAAGGGGGAGTGAATGAGGTGTGAGTCAGATAGGTTTGAGATAGGGACTTGATAGGGTCTTGTTAGGGACTTAGGGAGTTAGGGCTTGTACATGTTGTGTAGTCCTGTGCTATATATTAGAGTGAAGGTCTGAGAGAGAGAGTGTGTGTGTGGTACTTTATTATTACTGATTGCCTTTTATTTTAATTATTATAGTGATTTACCATTCCTTTTGTTATTATCAATAAACATAAGTTTTCATTTTAAAAATCATACTTTTGTCTGAAGAGTCTTATGAGGGAATGGTTGGTGGCAGCGTGAAATAAAATGAGTGTGACGTGGCAACTCCTTTGTGACGTGAGAGGAGGCTGTCACAGTCTATGTATTCATGAAGGCTTTCACTGCTGGGATGCAATGGTTGTTGTGGGTTTTTTGGGCTGCTTGGCCGTATTCTGGAGGTTTTTCTTCCTCATGTTTCGCCAGTCTCTGTGGCCAGCATTTTCAGAGGACAGGAGCTAAAATTCTGTCTGTGTTCTGGTGTAATGTGTGGGATAGTTGAGTATTTGTAGCTGTGGGATCAGGATTTTTTTTCCCAGGAGATTGGGTATTTTTGTTGTGATAAGGGGGGGAGATGATCTGTCACTGTGATTGATGGGTGTAGTCAGATCGTCTTTTGTGTGCAATGATCAGCCAACAACACCCATCAATCACAGTGACAGATCATCTCCGACACCCTGATTACAGGAAATACCCAATCTCCTGGGGAAAAAAATCCTGATCCCACAGCTACAAATACTCAACTATCCCACACATTACACCAGAACACAGACAGAATTTTAGCTCCTGTCCTCTGAAAATGCTGGCCACAGAGACTGGCGAAACATGAGGAAGAAAAACCTCCAGAATACGGCCAAGCAGCCCAAAAACCCCACAACAACCATATAAAATCTATCTTAATCTGGTCCTTATTCCTATCCATATTGTTACTTGCATAAGGTCTACTTTTGTGTAAGCAGATAATCTCCTGGTGAAAATGGAGCATTACCCCTAATTGGACAGGATGCTCTAACTCTCTCTCTCTGTCTCTCTGTTGCAGGCTTCTTGTAGAGAACAAAAGCCTAAATTACAGAACCTCAAGTACCTGGCATTAAGGCTTAATTATTTGAAGTCATTATCTCTCTAAGAGGGCTTAATCCTTTGGCAACATTTGTCACTGCCTCTGGGCAGGAAGAAGTTTCCTAGAGAACCAGATATTCTCCATATACCGTATATATCAACGCTTTGAACAATCTTTAAATAAACAATGAGGCAACATTCTGGCTACTGAAGTTACTTGAGGCATATCAGATATTGATCTGTTCCTCTTGCAATCCACCTCATGACTTTTCCCATTACACATTTTATTTTCTGTTCCTGTGTTTCATCTCTTTACATACCTGCTGGATCGCTTTGGACACTCACAATCAGCACAGCCTACAAAAAAATGTATCTTCCTAGATGAGCTCAAGAAAACCTCAACTAGCAATGAAAATTATCAGTTAAATCACCATGAGGAAAAATAATGGCAAATTTAGATAACTATTTTCTACCAGGGTGTTTTTTTTTTTTTTTATCAATGCCTGGGCAGAAGAGTACAGTATCAAGGAAAGAGATTTCAGCTAAACATAAGGAAGAATGTCCTGATAATAAGAGCTGAATAACTATGGAATAGCCAAACACACAAAATGGTGGACTTTTCTCCATTGGAAGCTTTTAAACAGAAATTGAATAGCCATCTGTCAGATATGCTTTAGCTGTGGATGTTTTTGCTTCCACAAAGAGCTGGACTTGATGACCCTTCAGGTCTCTTTCAACTCCATGGTTCTATGATTCTGTGACCTGAGAATCCTCAACTAAATACAGACCCTGCCCAAGAGGGGGCAACTTCCAGATGTCCAGAAATACACCAATCTCTGGACTTCTGAGGGCTGCATCCATACCCTTGATTACACACACTTAAAACTAATTCTTACAGATATGATTGTGTCTTTTTAAAAAAGTCCTCCTATGATATCTAATAGCTTTTTAAAAAAAAAATTAAAAAAGAGGTGGGGCAGGAGTGCTGTGACCTTTCAAGATGGCAAATTTGCCCCTTATGCCCCCTTCTTACAGGACACAAGGGGAGGTTTTTTAAAGCTAATTTGCTTCTCAATTTGCATATTGGAGTGGGAGCCGCTGCCCCCAATAACCAGGGGCCTAACTCAAAAGCCACTCAACATTGCATACTCCCACATTATTAGAGAGCAGGCCGGGTAGGTGGGGCTCGTCAGCCCTGGAAGGCAGCCCATCTAGGAGAAGGAAAACTCCGAATTTAAACCTCCACTGCCTTGTGGCTATATCCACTCATGGAAAGGGCTTCAGGAGATAACCTCGAGGCAAAATCCGGAGCTGGAGTCCCGGAGGCACTTTGTGTCACTCTGCCAACTCCTGCGACGTTGCTGGAACCAGTTGTATTGGCTCTTGCCTCTCCACTGGACCATTTCAGCGACGTGGAGAGGGGGGATTTGCTGCTTGGGTAACAGCCTATCCTCCATATTATTTTACCCAGGCTTCGTGCTCTGGAGAGGACACTCCAGCTTCGCATACAGCGTCGAAACAACACGGGAAGTAGCAGTTACCGGTTATAAGTCTTTGCTCAATTGGCGTAGAGCAGGACGCCAGGGGCTACTTCTGACGGTGGGAGAGGTCATTGCACCTCACTAGGTAGATACCGCCCGCCTTAAGCTGGGCAGCCCCCAGCCAGTAAGGTGCTACCTCGCCACGGTCTGTTAACCTCACGGGGTGCGTGGGGTTTAGGGTCAAACCCGACAAGCAGATCGATAACCGTGCACCATGCAACAATCACAAGAAAACTTCTGC